TTGGTTCCAACAAGTAGGATTATGGGCACGCTGGGAACATCATTGGCGGGTGGCAGGAAGTGATAACGGCTGATAAGATAACATAAGGAGCCTTAGAAGGGAATGGCCACTAAATTCATGGCGCCGGCCACAGCAACTACGGGACGTTGGTTCCAAGAAGTAAGATAGGGGGCAGGATGGGAACATTATCGGTGGGCGGCCAGACGTGATAACAGCTGATAAGATAGCGTAAGGAGCTTCAGAAGAGGAGGGGCACAAAGTCCATAACGTGCTTCACAGCGGCGGTAGGACTTTGGTTCCAAGAAAAGATATAGAAGACAGGATGGGAACATTATCGGTGGGGTAGGCGTGTCACATGATAAGCTGTGTGACCCGAGCTTAGACGATAGGTCGATAGAGAAATCGCGCTGAGTCATGATCCCGATGATGAGAGCTGATTACAGGCGGCGGCAACTGCGGAAAGGGCAGAAGGAACGACGACGACCGACCGGACGGCGACTTCCCGCACTTCCTCCCGGCGACCTCGGGTCCGTAAGGGCCCGTCATGCTTCAGTACTCGGTTCTAGTTATTCAATAAATATTCGTTGACTATCAGCCTAAGACTTGCACAGAAAGGGGTGTAAGACCCCCACTCACACTGGTAGCAGCGAGTGCGATTGCACTCGGGAGGCAGCCAGGTTCGTTTTTTTTCTTTCTTTCCCTTCTTTGCTAGTTGGTTTTCTTTTTTTCCCTCCGTTTCATTTAGTTCTTCTTTCTTTTCCTCGTTTTTTCTTTCTTCTTCCTTATTCGCCATTCTTTCCTTTTCTCTCTGTCTTCTTGGTACTACTTCGCAGCTCTTGTGAGCATTCATCCCGACACAATCTCTGGCCAGGATTAGTGTTTTGATGAACGCACGACGTCGCAATACCCCCCTCGAAAATATTTTCAATGCTCTATACGGTTAACAATTCCAACTAGTCGTTCCGGGCCCAAATGGGTAAATCTTCCGGTCGTCGCGACCCCTTTTTTTCCTTTCTTTCCTTTGTCGTTCCTTCTTTTCCTCCGAATCCTTTTCTCCTCCTCTCTCTTTTTTTCACGCGCGTGTTCTTTCCTCTTTTCTCAACTCTTCGTAAGGTATTCGCAGATGCATAGTGGCAGTGGTATAGTCAAGAATTCCTTTTTTTTCATTCGATATACGATGCCACCAATAGTTGGCGTCTCCGCACCTTTTGGTTGGATTCCATGGTTCATGGTGACGCTCCGGTCTTAAGAAGGGTTGACAGACACACATATTGATAAGCGTACGCAGGGACCGCGTCCCCATAGCTTCAAGCACAAGGTTACTATGTGGTCTATAAATGTGCGTATTACTGAGAAGGGTACCCCAGTTACAGCGACAGTATGACTTAATTTCGCTTGGTTTTCTTTTTCATTTCGTTTACGCTTTCCAGTCCTTTATTTGCATTTTAGCATTTTTCATTTTTTCTCTTCCTCTATAGGTCTCCGCGGGACCTCTTTTGCTCGGTACCTTATAACATTGTTAGGTATGACTCACATGCACGATGGTTGCCAACCGTGCTTTGTTTCTGCCAGCGCGTCTGCAAAGCACGTCGGCCTACTCACCCGCTTCTTCTCACAACATGCGAGATTCCGACCGTATCAGCGGAAGTGATTTCTCGTGGCATCCTCTCCCATCACCCCCATAAATTCCTGCTTGAGAACGGAGTTCTGTTTTGACTCTTCGTTCATGAATTCTCATAACAAGCAATGCCGATCCGCTTGTTTTGTTAGCGGACTGCACGGATAACACTGATCTCTCATAAGATACAAGACCCACCCCCTTGCCATCGAGGATAAAGTAGGGGAATTCGCCGCGGCGACATACTTCGTGATTTTTCGCTGTGTCTTGCTTCATGCCAGTCACTCGTAGTCAAGCTAAATCGGCTTCTGCATCTGCTGACGGGGCTTCTGCCCAACCTTCCGACACCAAGGTCGAACCGTCGGACCCGGTCAGGGAACCGTCATTATCCATCTTTGCCGACCTCGCGGACGATTCTCTTTTGCATGGCCGCGATGCCAAAGCGATTTGTGATGCCACTACTACGGCCATTGAGCAGGTATGGAATGATACCTGCGCTACTACCGCTTCTCTCACCCGTAAGATTAACGAGAGCAATGCCGCTCTCCAAGATAAGCTTAAGGAGTCATTCGCTGCGGTGGGGAAACGCCTCGATAACCTGCCTACGATCGCGATGCTCCAGTCGGATTCTCCGGCACTTCGAGTTCTGCCCTTTTCCGGTGTTACTGAAAACGGAGTCCAATTTTCGATTTGGCTTCGTCGGCTGGAGGACGTAATGCGCATGCGCCCGGCCCCACTTACGGACGAGCAGCGCGCTAACTTCCTCATTGGACATCTTGACGGCGTTGCTCGGGAGAAAGTAGAGGAGTTGGACGACTCCGCCAAAAAGAGCTACTCTTCGGTGGTCTCACACCTATTGGCTTTCTTCGAGAGTCCGCATCAACGTTATGTTGCACGACAGCAGCTTGCTGCATGCCGTCAGGAGGCCGGGGAGTCGTGCACGTCCTTCGCCAACCGCGTGCTCAATCTCGTCCGCGCGGCGACGTCCGGGCAGGATCCTTCCACATAGAAAGATCGTGCTCTGGAAGAGTTCGTGTCCCGCTTGCGAGGAGACATCCGGTATTTCGTGAAACTCGATGGCCCTCTTTCCTTTGAACAGGCCGTTAACAAAGCCCAAACAGTCGAGCAACTCCTTAGCGAGGCAACGGCCGAACGACTTCTACATCCGACGTCAACCCCAGCTCCCGTCCAAGTATTGCGTAGTTCTCCCGGTCGAGGCCCTCCTCCCCCTAGAGCGCCCCCACGTAGCCCGTTGCGCACGCGTGCTCCCAATCCGGTACACGCTACAGCTAGGCCTCGACGGGCTCCATCGCCACCGCGCTCGTCGGAGTTCCGATGTTATAACTGTAGCGGGTTTGGACACTTCGCTGGAGCATGTCCTTCCCCCCGTCGTCAGGGATCGCTGCCATCCCAGCCAGTGGCTCGGTCTCCCTTCCCAAACCGCAGCCAGCCGGCCCCTGCGCGCAGTTACAATGCACAAGCCTTCACAGTCGACCCTTTGTCCGATGTGGCCACCTTGTCCGCTTCACTCCGGGACTCTCAGGATCAGCTGCAGCGCTCCCAAGCACGTGTCTCAGCACTACTTCGACGTAACGAGGAACTCACGCAAGCATCGCTTGAGCGGCCGGTTTCGCCACCTCATCCAACATCTTCCGTACTTCCGGACATCCGCGCTTTGTTTTGTGTCGTCCTGTGCCTCACGGTTTTTGCTTCGCCAGGTAACGCTTTCGATGCATGGTTGTGTCCTTCCGACAACCCTGCTACCTTTTTCTTTCTACCGGATACTCAGAATTGTTCTGAAATGTTACCTAACGTCTCCTCTCCGCTCGATAAGGTTGTCTTACATGTCTATCGTCCGAACACGCAGTTATACTCCTCACCGGCATTCTTCTGTAAGATCATTCGCCATTCTGTTACGTTTTCCGTTAACTTTTTCGGCGCTCGCCGTGAAACGCATACGGAAACCCCCCTCCCCGTCTCGGCCGAGGAATGTCGTCAGATGGCTCTTCATCATCGCTGTTCTCAGGGTGAAATGCTCGAATTCTCTGGTCCTCTTGGCGAACCTCGCACACGTCAACGTTGACTTTCCATAAGCTCCTTTCGGATGTTGTGTCGACCATGTCGCTACCGTCACTAATTGCTACTTCTACAATACCTCGGTTCAGGTTCGGCATTCCGATGCGGCACCCCAATCCCCCGCGGGGGATATGTCCTCCTGCCCATACGCTGATGGCACATGTACACTTTCGGACGGGTCCATACTCGTCTGGACCCCCAACCGAGAAGAAGAGTGTTCATTCATTCTGCTTGCGCGCATGTCGGGTCACTTAATGGGAACCATTTGGATGAGCGACGACAACGAATTCGCCCTTTCTTGGAATGAGCGCTCGCCGAGAGTGGCGGATTGCTCCAAGCAACTCACGGTTACCGATCAGGGCTATGCAATCCGGGTTTCCCACCGTCAGCCTCGCAGTTCTCCTCCCAACGTCGGGCTCGTCACAACTAACCAGTTGTCTGCACAGTTGTTAGCGGTGGAAGGCGCCACGTATGCATCCGTGAGCACCCTTTTTCGCAATGCCTTGCGCGCCCTTTGCGATCGCACCAATACCATGACAGTTTTCCTTCACTCTGCTCTGGCGTCACACCCCACTTCAACTATGCGAGCTCTGCTGTCACGTCGGGATATATCGGCACGTCACTTAGGCGGCGGGTATGTCCAGCTTCGGCGGTGCATCGCACTTCCATCTGCGTCCTGGCGCCTGCTGACTTTCAATGGTACTTGTTACGACCGTCCTTGGGTCGAAGTTCGTCTTCCTAGTGGCTCTGCGATGCGAGCTTTCCTAGACCCTGACACCGGCGTCCTGCACAGACAGGCCTCGATGATCCCTTGTGAGGAATCCGGCCCCTTCACCTTCCCCTCGTCGACGGGCCTACGTAGATTTTCTCCCTTGGATGGGACGTGGTCCTCCATCCCTTCCCACGAGGTCACCCCGGTTCCCTCGATCTCCCGCTTGAATTCCATCCCTATCGCACCGCCTCTCACAATTTTTCATAATCTCGTTCTCACCAATTTCAGCGAGACCTCCAGCGATCTTCAGTTGCGGGAATGGTGGACAACTCGAGATCACAGTCGTCTGTTGGACCATTTTTCTCACGTGAGTGCCCCGACGGACGGAAGATCTTCGTATACACCCGACTCCTCGGATGTGCCGGCTAGTTCCTTTTCCTCTTTCTTTCCCTGGTCTTTTTCTCTTTTCGATGTTTGGGTTACAGCATGTTGTTTGACAGTTACGCTTTCTTTTTTTATGTCTTTACTGTCTCTCTACATCCAACGGCATGCGCCTAGCTGGCTGCAGTGGGTCCCTTGTTCGCTACCCTCCGGTCCTTTACCGGCCCCAGCATTACGACAACCCCCCTCAGCCCCACTCCAGTCGACTCTTCCCGTTGTCATCGCGCGCCCACAAAGGCAGCCTCCCCCGACTCTGGATATCTCACAGATCGAACTCGATGAGGTTGCCGTTTGGCCCTCTACCTCAGCGACGCCTCCCATTGGGGTTCTCTCTCTCGACTCTCAGCAGCCATTCTTTGTCGCCCAGATCCCTGTCAGGGCCAACGGGGTTGCTATGCTAGCACTGGTAGATACCGGCGCTGGTGTCACAATCGCCAGCCAGTCACTGCTTCCCCTGTTAGGCGTTTTTTCCCTTGAGCAATGTCAAGTGCCCGCAGCAATTGGCATGGCAGGGGTTCCCATTCGTTTCGTGGGAACAGCTCTGGTTACCTTCCACCTTGGGACTCACAAGCTAGTCCACTCGGTGCATTTCACCGAGGCGGACTGTCTTCCTAGGTCGGCGGATGCGTACAACATAATTCTGGGCAACGACTTTCTCCAACGTCTCCCACCTTGGGCGCTCAACTACGCGCAGCGTACGCTTCTTGTGGGACAGCGAGGTTTTACCAATTTGCACGTTCAGATCTACCGATATAGAGAAGACGTCCATACCTCCAGCTCAGCCGATGACAGTTCACGCAGGCTCAACCGTCGTGTTACCTCCGGCTTCTGAAGTCATGGTTTCGTGTTATGTGGCCAACGCAGACCCTCGGCATGCTACGGTGCTGGCTGAAGGCACACTCTTGTCTGAGGACAACATTCTCATTGCTCCGGCAATATCTAGAATAACTCGGCCGAAGCTGTTTCTCAGCAATCCCACTGACACACCGAAAGTGATCTATAAGGATCAGCACCTTACAGTCGCATGGCCCGTGGTCGAGCTTCCTAACGGATCCATATTGGATCCCCCTCAGAGTTTTTAGCACCACGCACACTTCCTGTCCCGTTTCAGCTCTGACTCCCGGCACTTCCCCAACTCCGTTGAACATCGACTTCTCTCGGGCCAATGTGACGGAGCAACAACGTCAACAGCTCCGTGACTTATTCGATGAATTTCGCGATCGTATTTCCACATCATCTTATGATCTTGGTTCGTATACACACACTCGCATCTCCATCCGCACGACGACGGAAACTCCACCATCTCGGTATCGGCCCACCCGAATTCCAGCGCGCTATCAAAAGGAGCTTGACGACCACATCAACAAGCTCCTTGCTTCTGGTCGCATAGTCGAGAGCGACACCCCGTGGCTTCATAATACTGTACTGGTTAAAAAGAAGGACGGCTCTCTTCGCGTCTGCCTGGATTTTCGCCCGTTGAACGACATCACTATTCCCGATCGTTACCCTCTTCCGCGTATTGAAGACCTTCTCGAACACGTTGCAGGTAAGAAGTATTACACATCCTTTGATCTAGCGTCGGGCTACATGCAATTATTGCTTTCGCCAGAAAGTCAAGCTAAATGCGGATGGGCCACTCACCGAGGCGTCTATCAGTTTGTCTACTTGCCGTTCGGACTTCGTAATGCTGGCGCTTACTTTTGCCGAGCAATGTCGCGAATTCTAGCGGGTCTCGATGACAATTGCTTGGCCTATCTCGACGACATAATTGTCTTCGACGACGACTTCGAACACCATTTAGCCTCCTTACGTAAAGTGCTGGAACGATTCCGCATCTTTAACATCAAGGTCTCCGGCAAAAAGCTCACCAGTATAGCCCAATCCAAGATCACTTTCCTCGGACACGAAATATCAGGCGCCTCGTACACCCCTGCCGAGCGCAACCTGAAAGCTATCAGGGACATGCCCGCACCGACGACGGTCAAAGGTGTCAAAAGCTTCTTAGGCATGGCAAACTTTTTCCGTAAGTTTGTCAAGAACTTTGCAGGTATAGCGGCTCCGTTATATGACCTTTGCAAGAGTAAGGTCCAGTTCCAGTGGGGAGAGGCTCAAGCCACTGCCTTTGGCCAACTCAAAAAAGCTCTCATCAGTCGTCCTTGCCTGGCTTTTCCCCAGGACAAAGAATTCCTTCTTCACACTGATGGCAGCAAAATCGCCGTGGGGGCCGCGTTACTCCAAGTACAGGACCTCTCTTCAACTCCAGTGGCGATTGGGTATTTCAGTAAGACGCTTGCCCCCTCCCAACAGAAATGGAGCCCCACTCATATCGAACTCTTCGCCATCATAAGTGCCCTCCGTTTTTTTCGTTCCACCATCTACGGCAACCACACTCGAGTGGTGTGCGACCATCAACCGCTTACTTTTCTTCTCCGCCACCGCAAACCTCACGACAGTTTGGCTCGATGGGTCGTGGAGTTGCAAAGTTTCGACATAACTATTGAGTACCACAAAGGGTCGTCCAACGTGATCGCTGATCATCTCAGCCGGACCCCGAACCCTTCTCACCAATTCGCGGAGGGTTCCGCGGAATGTGACGACATTGTGGAATTTCCGCGTTGTTTACTACAGCAGACTTCATCATCGCCTTCATCCGATCCTTCATCTCCACCGCTGGCGCCGCCCTTGTACGTGCGTCCCTACGACGCACTACTCGCTCAGAAACAGGATCCCTTTTGCAGTGCGATCATGAACTTCCTCGACACGGGATCATTCCCACCGGATATCTCCTCGTCACTCCGGGATTCCTGTGTCCAGTGGATTGATAAGTGCGCCCTCCGCCCAAATGGATGTCTCTACTACGTCGGCTCCAGACCCTCGTCAACCCGTTTCAGGGCTCCCATCGTGGTTCCAGAAAGCCTGCGCGAACCCATTTGCATCGCCCTGCACACTAGTCCTTCCGCGGGCGGCCACTTCGGCTGGAAGAAGACACTTGCCAAAATCTCCCGTCGATTCTTCTGGCCCTCCATGCGCGAAGACGTGTTCAACTTTGTGCGCTCGTGCGATGCATGCCAACGTAAGCGCCCACATCCACTTTCACGGGAGGCTCTCTTACCTATTCATGCAGGCGCTATCTTCGATAGAGTTTACCTGGATTTGAGTGGTCCCTACCGTAAAACTCCACGCGACAATAAATACATCCTGTGTCTCATAGATCATTTCAGTAAGTTCGTGATTGCGACCCCTTTGGTCGACTGCATGGCGGTAACAGTGGCGCATGCTATCGTGACTCATTGTATTTTCGTCTTTGGGGCAATGACAGTGCTGGTCTCTGACAACGCCTCCTACCTAAAAGGCGACCTCCTTTCGGAGCTGGGACGCTTGCTTCAGATCGGCCGCTATTTCACGACCCCCTATCATCACGAAGGGAACGGTGCTTGCGAACGGGTTTTTGCCACTTTTCAGGAGATGCTGCGGACGTACATTGACGCTAACCAATCCGATTGGGATCTCTTCTTACCCGCCTGCACGCTGGCCTACAACACATCTATTCACAGCAGTACGAATGAGTCTCCGTTCTTCCTCATGTTCGGTCGCGACCCAGTCCTCAATATAGACCTGCTCATCAAGCATCACGCTTATGGCCACATTCCCTCGGATCTGGACAGTAGCATTTATAAGGAATCTTTAGTTAAGACCTTGCACGCAACCTGGTCCGCGGCAGTCGCGTGCCATAGGAAACGCAGTGAGGCGATGAAACGGCAATATGATCGAAGCCGGCTACGACCATTAGACGTCACAGTAGGGGATCGCGTTTACTTACGGGACTTCACCCCTAAAATAGGATTATCACCCAAGTTGTGCAACCCTTGGACAGGTCAGTTCCGGGTCATTAAGATCGACCACCCGCACGTCATTATCACTAGCGTTTCCTCGCCACAATCCAAGCCTAAAAAGGTACATATGAATCAGGTCAAAAAGTGCTTCGCTTTATCGGGACCAGTCTTTACTACTCCTTGGACACCCGAGGCCGAAGAAAAGGCGCTTGGTTCTGCGAATGTTTCCCCGGTCACGGTTGTAGGGTACTCGCATACCAACTTGGATGAAACATGGTTACCTTCTCCACCCCAGGCACCAACTTCGTCTCATCCTTATTTCACACGTTTCAGGAAACGTCTTCAATCGTGCTGAACCACGCTTGCCACGACGACGACGCCAATTGATGCCTGTCTCGACGGACACCTATTTTTTTTTCCTCACCTTTTTTTTTGCTTTTTTCCACATCTTCCTTCTCCTTTCCCAGATGACCTCGCCTCCCCTTCTCTCGGACTTTGCTTTTTCCCTCGTCTCCTTCATAGCTTTTCTTCCCATGCATCGCTCGTTTTCGTGCAGAAAGCATTCAGTGATTCTACGGTTTCACCGTCGTCCGCATTGTGTTCGCATCCCGGTATCATTCCCCCATACCTGAGTTTGTTCATTCCAGAGCCGCGTATATGGAGTCGCGTAATAACGAATCATCCTGCCCATCTCCTTGCGTTCCACCACCAACCTCCGCCCCAGAAGGAGATCTCTGGACTTTCACTTTCCCATCCGCGGCAGGTATGTCAATTACCGGTAGAGGACCACCCTCGGAGGCATGGCTCTCCTTCTGATCGTTCCTTCACCTTCGGTTGACGACAGCTTTTGCAGAACTTGGAACTACCCCCGCTTTCCCCTCCGGTTCCGCCACCCCGACAACACCTACCGCGTCGGTCAGTACCGAGAGTAAGTTAATCGTCGCCTCCAATCCCGGCCTCTTCACACCTTGTTTTTTCCAGGGGACTCTCCGTCTTCCAGGGCTTTTGCCCAAACATCGGACACATTTCGGGCTCCTGCCCAACTTGCCGACACATCTACGACAATCTCCGTGCCACTCACAACATCGTCCAGCATTACTCTCGGCAAGTTTGGGCCCTCCTTTTCTCAAGATCATTCATGCTTCTGTGTCCTTATCTTATCCACTCCTAGATCCCGACGAGATCCAGCACTTGACGTTGGCTTCTGCACCTTCGACATCTACGGTGTCTCAACCGTCTACGTCATCCGATATTTCGTCCGCCCACGTTCGTCCTTCTACGGACTCATTCTCTACATTTCGCGAATCCACACTATCGTCTCCTCCATCCCGGTCAGCAGCAGCTTCCCACGCGACCGAGGCCCCTTCTCCAGCTAAACGCGCTCGTACTACGGCAGCTACATGTGAAGGAATACAACCTCACCCGGCATATCCACCTCGCTGGGAACGTACTCCTGACAACTTCCGTAGTCCTTTCGCTGCGCTCCACCCATGGGGCCGATACGTGGAAGAGCGACGACGTCTGCCCCAGCTACAGGACAACCAGGTCACAAGCGTTCTACCACTCCATGCTTATCGTCACATCCCGTGCAACGGATACTTTGCCAGCCGCTTCGTCCGCTCTCTGTTCCCACGCCGTTTCGCTGGGACACCCTCCCCTCAGAATCCTATTCCTGTCATGGAGCTCATGAAGCTGCAAAACATCATAAGTTTCCGGCAGCACGCCGCTCAGCTTACAACGGAGTTACTTGATGACAGCTATCGTGACGATACGGAAGATATCCGACGTATACCCTGGACCACCCCCGGAGCCCCAATCGCTTCTTGCCTGGTACCTCCTTCCGACAACAACCAGCACCCTGTTCTGTATCAAGTCGTGGCCCGAGGATATGGCCAAGGCGTGATCCTGGAAGCGAAAGATTTCTTCATACCGGGGCCCGATCTCCGCGAATTACACTGCGTACCACTGGTTCAGGATTCCGTGAACCTCCGTTCCGGCACCCGTGGCTTCGACACGACGCAGGTTTCGGTCAAAGATCTCGTCTGGGTTTATTCGTTACGACCCACCCAGGCCACTATCCGCAGCCAAGACCGAGCACGCGTCTTGAAACGGGCGCGTCTTCCACGCGCATCTCGCTTTGACGTCACTTTGCCGTACTTCTTTCGCGTCCACGAGTATGTCTGGGTTACTCCCACCCCATCACAGCGTCATCTCATGGGGATCGTCCTCGCCGTCCACCGGCGCGGAGAACACGGAGAAGTCAACACCGCCCAAGTTGCTTTCCAGGGCTGTCGCGAAGCGGTACGGATTTCTCCTTCTATCTGCGAATTCAACTTGAACGACCTCGAGCGCGACGAGCTTCTCTTCAGTGAGGCTCGAGAGAACGTTTCATGTGCTATGCGTTTCTGTGTTCCGGCAGTTTCAGTGGCAGCTCAACGCTTCCTCGTTAATGCAGTCCGGTTCTTCATACCTTCCCATCCAGACGAAGCTATATTGCCCTTGCGAGTGTACCGGCCGACACAACAACAACTGGACTGGATAGCCGACCGTCAGGGCGACTTCTCTAGTTACAATAGACATACTACAGCCGCGCGACGACGCATGGGTAAGCTCTTCGCAGCCGCCAGTGCCGCCTTGGCAGCGCAATCCGTTCTTCTAGACGATAAACGGACCCATGAAGTCACTGCGTTCGTCCCGAGTCTTACAGCCCTGCCAGTTCGTCTTCAAATTGAGCTGTCTGGCATGACCTCCGAAGCGGGTTGGACACGCTCCCGCCCCGTCGACGTGTGGATCGCAAACTCTTCTTTGGTCTGCCGTACTACCATAATGTGGACGGAGTATGTCTTCCACACCCAACGTCTTCGTGTCGAGCTCCACTCCGCTCGCTGGACTCACAAGCGTCTCCTGAGAACTATTGAACGGTTTGGATTCGTTAACAACCAGGACAACACCGCCCGAATCAACGTTAGCGTTCGTTTGTGCCGGGCCCTTACCGGAACGGACCCTCTGTTCGAGATCCTCGCGGGCGAAAATCTATTTCAAACCCTGCCAACCAACACCTCTTCGGTTGCTAATGACATTCTCGATACCGTCTATGGTAGCCCGCGTCGCACGTCATCCGCCGCCACTCCAACAGCCCTACCAGTTTCACCCATATCCGTTCGCGTGGACTCAACAACACTTCGTCTTGGCACTGACCAAGCCCACGCCGTTCGGCTAGGATGTGAGAGTCGGCCGATTGTAGCAATTCAAGCCGCCTACGGGTCCGGGAAAACAGTTGTAGGCGCCGTGATAGCCGCCCGCTCAGCGACCCCGGCACAGCTGGTCGTAGCCACCGCTATAACCAACGTCGCGGTAGCGCAATTTACGCAAACGCTACTTCGTCTCAAGGACTACGACCATCTCTCCATTGTGCGCTTCGTAGCTGACACCGCGCTACAGGAAGGAGCACCTACCACGGCAGTTGATCTTCACGTGCTTCTGCAGGGTCTTTTGACCAATTACTCTGACACACTTTCACAGAACGAGATCGAGCAGCTGACTGCCTACGCAAGGGGCCGGCGCCTCATCGAGGTTCTCCTCTTCGATCGTGAAGCGACACTCCAGCTTACGGATGAAGAACGTGAGGAATTCCGCATTGCGGAATGCGAAAACTCTGAAGCGACAGAGCAAGCCGTCCGAATTATGATGCGTCTACGGTTCCCCGCTATTCTTTGCATAACTATCTCCTCGCTTTTGAACTCGACGCGTAAGGGAGGCCTCTTTTTCGAGCTTTTGTCCACCTGCAAAGTCATAATCGCAGATGAAGCTTCACAAATACCGGAACCTGCTCTTCGCCGCAATGGTTTCCCGATTCCCGTCCGCACGGCACGTCTATATTGGAGATGCCCACCAACTGGCCCCTCATACTCGCTGCCCTCCCACCTCATTAGCAGCACGCCTGGGCGCCAGAGGCATTATGGACCTCCTAATTCAGAAGGACGTACCTTGGGCACCGCTGGTGACTACTTATCGTGCCCATCCAGCCTTGAATGCTCTACCGAATCGACTCATCTATGATGGTACGCTCGTCAGCGGCACTCGATCAGCCCAACGAGACCTTTTGCTTCGACGTGTAGCCCTTCCGCGGCCTGACCTCCCCTTCGTGCTGGTCAACGTCCACGGCACATCACGGATCTCGACATCCCAGTCACACTGGAACGACACTGAGGCGCTTTGTTGCATGGATCTGGTCTGCGCGTTGTTAGCCAAAGGTATCCCTGCGTCGTCCCTGATCATCATCTCCTATTACAAAGAACAACAACGACGTCTCGAATCGCAGGCTCGCCGTTTAGGAGTAGCGTTACACACCGTAGATACGGTGCAAGGCCGTGAGGCCGACATTGTTATCATCCTCACGACACGATCAGATGCCAACCCCTCCTCAGGAGAATTTTTGGACGACCCACGTCGTCTCAACGTAGCCATTACGCGATGTCGCCACGGGCAGTTTCTTTTAGGTCACCTGGATACGCTACAGTCACTCCCTTCCTGGAGACGCCTCATCCAATGGGCACATGAGAACGACGTTATCGTCAACGAATCGACACTCCCGGATCTCTTTGCGTAAGGCGTCGGATGGTGAGTCTTTTATATCCCGCTCCGATATTCCTTTCCTACTTGGACTCACTTTCTTTTTTTCAGTCCGAGGACGGACTTTTTTGTGAAAGGGGGGAGGTGTGTGACCCGAGCTTAGACGATAGGTCGATAGAGAAATCGCGCTGAGTCATGATCCCGATGATGAGAGCTGATTACAGGCGGCGGCAACTGCGGAAAGGGCAGAAGGAACGACGACGACCGACCGGACGGCGACTTCCCGCACTTCCTCCCGGCGACCTCGGGTCCGTAAGGGCCCGTCATGCTTCAGTACTCGGTTCTAGTTATTCAATAAATATTCGTTGACTATCAGCCTAAGACTTGCACAGAAAGGGGTGTAAGACCCCCACTCACACTGGTAGCAGCGAGTGCGATTGCACTCGGGAGGCAGCCAGGTTCGTTTTTTTTTTCTTTCTTTCCCTTCTTTGCTAGT